ACTCCAGTCTGGGCGACAGAGTGAGACTCCAACTCAAAAAAAAAACAACAAAAAAAAACACTGTCGAGTCTCAGTGACTCTTAGTGACCAGGCGTCCAGTGAGGCATCTGTCCAGGACGCTGGATCCTAAGGCGTGGCCTCTTCCTCCTCGCCCGCCCCCAGACCATCAGCCGCGCCTACATGAACGGGAGCTCAGTGGAGCACGTGATCGAGTTCGGCCTCGACTACCCCGAGGGCATGGCCGTCGACTGGATGGGCAAGAACCTCTACTGGGCCGACACTGGCACCAACAGGATCGAAGTGGCCCGGCTGGATGGGCGGTTCCGGCAGGTCCTGGTGTGGAGGGACTTGGACAACCCCCGGTCGCTGGCCCTGGATCCCACCAAGGGGTAAGGGCCACTGCCATCTGTGACCCACATGTCCCTGTCCCCACTTCGGCCCCAGCCAGTGCAGTGGCGCCAAGCAGGCAGCGTGGCGGGCTGCCCACCTGGCCCTGTGTGGTGAGAGTCTTGCTGACTGCCACCGCCTTGGCAGTGGGCGGGGTTGGCAGACCCTCAGAGGCCACTGAGTTCGTTTCCAGAGGGACGCAGAGGCCAGAGGAGAAGGAAGGCCGGAAGCCGCCTTGTCGGGCGCCGTGCTGGCGGGTGTCACCTGGGCTGTCTCCTCTGGGCGTCCGGGGAGCCCAGTGGGTGTCTGTGTCCGACTTTACGGATGCAGAGTGCAAGGCTCAGAGCAACCCGGTGACTGGCCTGAGGTCGTCAGAGCGGAGCTGGCCTCCCATCGGGCCCTCTTCCCTCCCACTGAGTTGCCAGATGCCGCCATCTCAGAGCTGGCTTTGAGGGCCTCGGATTTCAGTTCACTGAACCAAGCTGAGGTCCCACTTTGTCAGGCAGACAAGCCCTGGGTGGAATCTGTCTCTGGACTTTTTCCTTTCCTTTTTTTTTTTTTTTTTTTGAGTTGTGGTCTCACTCTGTCACCCAGGCTGGAGTGTAGTGGCACGATCACGGCTGACCACGTCCTCTACCTCCTGGGCTCAGGCAATCCTCCTGCCTCAGCCTCCTGAGTAGCTGGGACCCCAAGCACACGTCATCATGCCCGGCTAGTTTTTTTTGTAGAGACAAGGTCTTGCTGTATTGCCCAGGCAGGTCTCAAACTCCTGGGCTCAAGCCGTCCTCCCGCCTTGGCCTCCCAAAGTGCTGGGATTACAGGTGTAAGCCACTATGCCCAGCCTGTGTGTCTGTTTTTGTCTGCAAATGGGTATTCACTCGCCTCCTGGGATTTTAGGGTCCGGTGGCAGTCCCTGGAGAGGGGTTTGGGTGGCAGCGGGGCCTCCACAGAGGTCTTGTTCTTCCCTGCTCCCCAGACGTGGTTTTGTTTTTTTTTTTGAGTCGGAGTCTCACTCTGTCACCCAGGTTGGAGGGCAGTGGCACGCTCCTGGCCACTGCAGCCTCGACCTGCTGGGCTCCGGTGACCCTTCCGCCTCAGCCCTCCAAGCAGCTAGAATTACAGACACGTACCACCATGCCCAGCTAATTTTTTGATTTACTGTAGAGACGAGGTCTTACCAAGTTGCTCAGTCTGGCCTCGAACCCTGAGCTCAGGCCGTCCTCTCACCTCTGCCTCCCAAAGTGCTGGGATTATAGGCGTGAGCCACCGCGCCCGGCCTTGGATGCGGGTTTTCTCATCCAAGAGAAGGGCAGGCCGAGCCAAGGCGGTGGTGGCCGTTGTGTCCTGTGTGTCCCCCACCCCCCACCCTCTCGCCATCGTCCAGTGGCGAGAGGCCTCACCAGTGCGCCTGACCCTCCCCCATGCCTTCCAGCTTTATCTACTGGACCGAGTGGGGCGGGAAGCCGCGGATCGTGCGGGCCTTCATGGATGGGACCAGCTGCATGACGCTGGTGGACAAGGTGGGCCGGGCCAACGATCTCACCATCGACTATGCAGACCGGCGCCTCTACTGGACCGACCTGGACACCAACATGATCGAGTCTTCCAACATGCTGGGTGAGGGCCTGGGCTTCAGCGTCGGGGGCGGGCGGCTACCCCAGCCCCGTCATGCTGCGTGTCCCCCAGGCCCGCAGGTCCCTGTCCCCCAGGAGGCGTGACACCCCACGAGGGCTCGCAACCTCAGCCCCTCCTGGGGGGTCACCCTGCCCCTTCCGCCCTGCCGTTGCCGTGGTTGTGGTGAAAGAGGTCCCAGTGGCAGCCGCTTCCTGGGCACCGGCCTGGCACCAGGTCACAGCTTTGCCTGCACCAGGGCTCTAATTTGACCCCACACCCCATGGCGGAGATTTCCGCTGACGGGGAAACGGAGGCCCAGTGAGTCACATGGCTCACCTGAGGACCCAGAGCTGGTGAGCCCTGGATGCCCTTGGACACCGGGACCAGTGCGCAATCCCGACCGCAACCTACACACCTACTGTGTGCAGGGCATTGTGCTGGGGTCACTCAGTCTTCCAGCACTCCCGGGCCTGGTGTTTTAATCACCTTTCTTTTTTTTTTTGAGTTGGAGTCTCACTCCGTCGCCCAGACTGGAGGGCAGTGGCCG